GTATAACCGGTTTTTCTCAGGTTCCACGCAGAGGGCATTGTGCAGTGCTGTGAGCTCCAGTGTGTGTTTATGTGAGTGAGTGTGTGTGTGTGTGTGTGTGTGTGTGTGCGAGAGAGAGAGAGAGAGAGAGTTTGAATCTGAGAAGACGACAGAAGAAGACACCATTTATCAGAGACCTTTTAGAGCTGCCTCAGGCGATGCATACCATCTTTGCACACACACACACACACATACACACACATACATACACACATACAAAACGCACCCCTTCTCTTACTTTGTCAGTCCACGTTGGTTGTTTAAGCACAGGAAGGGTGTTGAAGTAACAAAGAGAAACACAGAAGCCAAAGAGATACACCCAGGAATCAAGGGATGTGTGGATAGCTTTGGATTCTTATCTGTGATCTGAAAGATCACTCCTCCAAAATAGTTCCACTGTTTAAAAAGGCATTCCTTGCAGTTAGGGAGTTAGGAGGTCAACAGAGAAAGTTTTCCACCTTCTAAGTGTCAATCAGGAGGGAACCCTCCCTGCACCAGTCTGGTGACTCAAGTTTACAACAGTCCTCCTCCAGCACACACACACATGCATTCTTGCCGATTAACTGTAACTTGTGACAAACATCTACTCTATGTGGCCTAATTTGACTCCAAAACATCCCTCATATCAAAGTGCTTAGCCTCATAGATTCATTAAGGATTGATTTCAGTAATCAGTGTCACCTGTTCCAGGTGATTTTTGGTATCATATTATCTGTCATATTTTCTCTCACTGGGTCCAATCATATTCTCATACAGCACAAGATCAAATTTATTTTAGTCATGCTGGCAGCCTGGCTTGGTCAGTCAGTCAGTCAGTCCACTGCTCTGATTCAGACCAAAATATCTCAACAACTACTTAATATATTGCCATAAGAATTTGTACAGACACTCATGGTGCCCAGAAGATAAATCCTGATGAGTTTTCTGAAATATTTCAGCAACTCTTCGATGGATTGGGACACTTTAAATTACACACATTCATGGTTCCCTGGGATTTAATCTGACTTTGATGATCCCATGATTCTTCCTCCAGGGCCAACGTGAAGTTCACACCTGTGGTTGTGTGCAGAATATCATGACAACCATTGGATAGGTTGGCAGGAAATCTGGTACAGCCATTCATGCCCGTGTCAGAAATGAACTGAAATTGGTGACCCCTTCCCGTTTCACATGATGTAGAGTGCAGTCGTTTTTAAAGCAACCTCTCTGCTGTTTTCTTTATTTCCACTTTCCTATGGTATCATGATGAAGAAACCCCCACAGCCTGTAGCTACATGTCCCGCTACAGTGAATGTTCAGTTCCAAGTACCAATCTCAGCTGTTTTTGTTTGGCCCTCAGGTGTTTTCACAGAGAGGGTTACTCAGTCAGATTCAGTACATGCCATCTTGGCATGAGTGTGTGAGACAGATCTGCCTCCACAAGTCCGAAAATGAGACATCACTTTGTTAAGGCCACAGTCCCACGGGTCACCAAGGAAACCAAGAATTCCTGTGGTGCTCCTCAGTAAAGTTCCCAGGTAAGTGCGATATATCACTGGTTCACTCTCACACACATGCAGTGATGTAGGTACGCTCACCTGGAATGCAAGATTGTGGGAGAAACATATTAATCTATTTATCCAGTAGTTAGACCACCTTAACATGGTGGACAGCAATTATGTTAAAACACACACACACACACACACACACATATGGGTGGGCCGTATGAGGACTTTATAATGCAGAAATGAACATGATGTGACTGTATCCTCAACTTTAATATTCCACAGAAGTGTGTGTGAGGGTAATGTCTGTAGTTTGGGTGATAAAATTAGAAGACTAAATTGAAAGCAGTCCAAAACTGGGTCCATACTTGGGTCAATGTTAGATGACTTTAAAAGTAGAAAATGTTTAGAAATTGTTGAGCAGCTCGTGTGCATTTAAATGCTCAATGATAGACAAGATTGGCTGATGGTGGTTGATTTTGGAGAATGCCTGAATAAAGCTGGGAAATATTTGGCTCTGTACAAGGATGAACTTCTCATGACTTACATTATAACCATTTAAACGAATCATGTTGTTATAAGAGCTATAATAAGGAAAGGAAAATGTGAAAGTAGGTTTTGATATACTGTACATAGTATCTTATGATAATATAGTCTAACCATTCATCTAACAGCTATTTAGCTGTTAACCTAGCATCTAACTACCTAGCATGCTAGTTGTCATTAGGCTGAATGGTCATAGGTTTAGCATCATGCTGCCAGTGACAGCTACAATCTTGTTAGTTTAACACATTGTTAGCAAGCTGGTATCAATCTGGTCATTGCTTGGTGAAAGAAGAGTTAACGCTGCGTTAGGTCAGGACTAGAACATGGACGATAGATGATAGATCCTGAATTTCCCCTAAGGGATAAATAAAGTATCTATCCATCCATCTGTCTATCTATGTTGTTGCAATATGTCCGGACACTGTGATACTGCATACCGATACATTGCAGGGCCTAGTGATAGGTTAAAATATCAATTAACATCAATACTGGACTTCCATAGGAATGCTAACACAATTTCTGGCACATTTTATTGTGTATTAAGAATTGACATTTTGAAATTATTTAGGCTACTATTATATGAAATTATTCAGGAAAAATGAGTATTGCATGTTGCGTACTTGTAGTAGTTAAAATGTTTCAGTTTCAGAAGGCAAGACAGTTTTTGACAGAGACAAGATATTTTTGATGATAATCCTTGAAATGGAGTCAGATTTCATTCAAATTTTGGCAGTTTGTATAAACTAAGGCATGTATGTGTACAAGAATTTAGCAACCAATTATCCAACAGAGTAGGCTGCACTAAATTTGAATAAAACACTTCTTGGGCTCATTCAAATGTGAATCTGGTGAAGAATACATGAACATTGTAGGGAAAAAAATTACTGTCAGAAAAACCTTGGTGGGCAAAAAATCTGAGTTCTTTATAAATGGCCACATGATGGCACTATTTGAACCACAAAACACCTAATACGTTCTCCCATGGCTCATGGCCTGGCTTTTCATCAGATTTCCCTGGAATAGATTTTAAGATACTGCGCTGACTGAATTCCATAGAGGATCCTTAACATAAAGAGGCGAGGAGTCACAGGAGAACTGCAGAGCGGCAGGAGAGAGAGCAGGAATGAGTCCCAACATGCAGGAAAAGAATGAGAGGCAAGAGAGAGAATTCATGACCACAATCCAACACCTCACCCCGCCACTCCCTGCTCCTCCCTAAATCCTACCCTCTTACCCACCACTACTCCCCCTAATATCTGCCTTGTGTGTGTCACTTTCTCTCCTTCCTGCTGGCAAACCTCCGAATATTTTTTTTCTTATTTTATGGCATGTAAATGAAGTTAATGAATCATATGCTGGTGGGAGGCCATTAAGATATGTTTACACAACATTTGTCCTGATTCACAGGAAGCTCACACTCCTTCACCCACACACACACACATACACACACCATCCTGCACTAACATCGATTCGCAAGGGCTGTGTTGCTTCAATAACTAACCTAAGCTACAATAAAGAAAGGGCACTTCAGTTCAATGTCTCTCTTTACCATTTTAAATTCAGATTTTGTCCCTCAAGTTTAATAAAAGCTGAATAAATGTATATTTATTTAATCTTCATCATTATTTGTCTTGCGTCAAATAAAATTAAAAAATGTGAATCATTTCCTGGCTGGTCATGATCAGACTCCAGATTAGCTGACCCACCTTTATTTGTCTACTCCATCCTGACCCACCCACAAACTGGCACTGGCAAGAGCACAGACACACACAGACAAACATACAGGCTTCGACACATGCACACCCTCAGAGTACATTGGCAGGAAGTGAAGACACACCCTCCAGCAGGCTGAAATCCAATTTCTCCTCCTATGTTTTTTTTCTCTGAAGCATCTTCACTTCAGCATACCCTCTTCAGATACAGATACAGCCACATTGAAAAGTATCAATATTATAACATCAAACTTATCCACACAGTATTTTTGCATGACAGACTGTTTTGGAATTTGATAAAGTCAGTAGGAGAAGCGTTTAATCACTCACATACTGCAGATTGCAACCCAACCTCTATGAAACCCAACAAACCTGTAATTTGCACTTAACTCATAGTAAGAAATGTGAGAAGAATGGTTAAAAGCCCTGTGTGATTTTCAATGATGTCATGTGCTCTTATAAGTTTTCTTTATTAAATCCACCCGCAGACAAAAGATATAGACAGTAGAGAGAAAAGTGTTAAAACAACAAAAATATGTTATGCCTGGAATTTACAGCACTCAGCAGCACTGTTGGCCTCTACCTGTCTTACCTTCAACATGTTTGTTGTTAAAGTGTACATTGAACCGATCTCTCATAGTGAGACGTCACGCTGTCCAGTCTCCCGGGCCATTAATCATCAGCACCTGGTTTAGATTAATGAAAGAGTGCAGACTTTGACATCAAGAGACAGACTTAAACATGCTGAGACGTAGAGTTGTTTGCTCTCTCATGGTTATGCACCACAAACAAATTGTAGGCTGCTTCCCGTCAGAGTGAATGAATAGCAGGATGTGAAGCCTTTGCTGACTACAACATGCTCAACGTTCGATTTCATTAAGCATGTGCTGCCATCTACTGGCTATACTTGACTTTACAGTCTGCCACTTAACCAAGAGGCAGAGTTCCAAATATCCAAAATGTCTTAAGACCACATGAACATAACTCCCACTGAGTGTGTATTCAGGGCGGCAGCTAACACCATGTAATGTTTTTGGGAATTTGAGGGGTGAAGAGAGGATTACATTCTTAAGTTAGGCAACTATTACACATGTTGAAATAATTCAAACATAATTTAGACTGAATATTTTTAAATTTGATAGTTAAGGCAAAAATTTAATTCAAATAAAAGAGTAAAATAATGATAAAAAAAAATTAAGGACAGTTTAATTGAGTCGTAAAATGTCATTTTATTTGAAAATCTGAAAAGTTTTACAGTGTTTGCTTGGTGATTAGTCTTAGGTGGATAGGTCCGCAGTCATGACTTCTGATGTGACTCCCATTTAACTATTACAGTACAATTGTCCCTTGCTTGTCACAGGTCACATTTAAGTGCTGTCTTTAAAAAAGGTTAAAGCAGTAAGGTGCTAATGGGCTAACAAAAGATCAGGGAGGTGTAAAAATGTCTTGTAAGAAAAGGTAGTTTACATCAACTGTTAGAAACAGATTTCTAACAGCTGGTGTAGCGGTCAGCAGTTTCCTTCAGGTCACAGATTGCTCTCTTCTGGCAATTTGGTGAGAATATCCACCCCGTCAGATGTGATGACCACCGTGTGTTCAAACTGAGCCGACCTGCATGAATGTCAATTAGAAAACATGCAATGCACATTTAAGATTTTAAGGGAAAAGTTCAACATTTGGGGAAATGCTGGTGGTCTCTTGTGCCGGTAGGGAACTGGAGGTACACAGCAATTAGCTTAGCTTAGCATAAAGACTGGAATCAACTTGCCTGGCTCTTTGCAGAGTTTAAAAAATAGGCCAAACAGTATGTCTAAAGCTCACTAATTCACATTTTATAGGCTTCCATAGCTTTTACATGCCCTAATCATACCAGCTGGGAAAGTATTTAAAAGTGATTTGCTACATGACAGCTACAAACACACAGCCAAGAAATTTTTGTTTGTCCCCCACCTACCTTTTATCATCTGCAGACACCGCAGTCCACTTGTCCTTCAGGATTCTGAACTCTGGAGACCCCCACATCAGTATGGGCTCTACAAAACACACAACATCAGCTCCACACTCATACACAGTGCCATCTTTACATGCACATAAAAATGATAAAATGTAACTCGCCTATTGTGAAAGCCATCCCTTCATCCATGGTCATGTCATTGTCATTAGCTGAAAAAGAAGATAATGGAATGAAAAAGACCATTTGGCAACATGAGTAATTTATTTCAGCTATTAATTTTATTGTTTCTATATTTCTCCTTAGTTTCCCATTTCAGTTCTTGATATCCTTGTCCTGACTTTGTATGTAAATCAACACTTCTTGATCCTAGCTCTTCTGAGATCTCTTTAGCAAGGTATGGTTCATTAATTTATGGTGCATGTTTTTAATTCAAAGTAGCTCTATCTGGACTCCAGATACTCTTGATGCCAATTATCTTTTTTTTAAATTGCCATTAGTGGATGGGCTCACTCTCTTTTTTCAACATACACTGTAAATATTTTAATGATTTTTTTCAATATGGACAAGAAAAATATAATGATTTGTGTGTGATTAGTTAAAATAGACCATGAGCAGATGGCAAAAGGCAAGTTTATGAGGAGAGGAGGGTTTGGTGAATCAGACTTGGAACACTTGAGCAAACCTCAACGAAAAACATTAGAGATTTAGAATGAAAAGAATGAAAAATACTTACCATGGTGCCAGATCTCAGGATGGCAGTGAAAGTGGGAGCCTATTCCATGTCCGATGAAATAAGGACATACTTGGAAGCCACTGGCACAGGCTATTTCACTGCCAGCAGTACAAAAAAGTTATCAATAGTAGTCAAAAAGAAATGAATTAATGTGATTATATGGTACATACACTGTATATTTTATGTGTCTTTTCATTCTGTGTATATTTTGTGTGTGTGTACCTAATAGTATTTCCTATAACACCGAGCTGTGCACCCGGCTTGCAGGCAGCAATGGCCTCATCTCGGCAATGCCTGGCGGTCTCCACCAATCGCCGCCCAGCCTCATCCACCTGGCCAATCAGGAAGGTTTCTGAGGTATCACCATGGTAACCATCCAAATACACCTATCAGGAATAGGGACATGTCAGTGACGGGACCAGTGTTGCTCTGACTGGTCGTATGTTGGTGGATTTGTGTGTGTGTGTGTGTGTGTGTGTGTGTGTGTGTGTGTGTGTGTGTGTGTGTGTGTGTGTGTGTGTGTGTGTGTGTGTGTGTGTGTGTGTTTTGCTAAGGCATCAACTTACAGTTACATCAATGTTGATGATATCTCCATCTTGAAGTTGCCGACTGCAGGAAACAGCCATATAAAAAGATGAATGATGAATACAGTGAACCCCTTGCAACTGTTGCGTTATAATACAGTCAATACTGCACATCAACATAATACCTCAACTTCTCAACCAACCAACCAACCTTTCTATATAAAGTCCAACATCTAAAAATCTGACAAACCAAAATTCATTAAAATATGGGTAGAATGCGTTCAACATATGTAATAAATCATTTTCTCAGTGGCTGTGTTTACTTTCTCATTGGCGCTGGAATCTAATTTTGGAAAGAAATAAATGTAAAGAGAAAAAAGCATCCAAATGTTGAGAGTGAATGTTTTTACCTGTCAGGTATGCCATGACAGACCACGTTGTTGACAGATGTACAGACCGACTTGGGGAAACCCCCGTATCTGAGAGGGGATGGGTAGGCGTTGTGTTTGATTGTCTCCTGGTGCACAATGAAGTCTATTTCATCTGTTGTCATACCAACCTGGAAGTCACAGGTCATAACTGTTATTCCATGACACAGAAACACAAACAATATTTGTAGTGATTAGGTGCTTACCTTCAGACTGTGTGAAGCTAGTAGAAGTACATGTCTGGCTAACTGACATGCTCGGGCTAGGCCTTCGATCTGCTCTTGGTTTTTGATCTCTATGTAGTCTGGCCACTCTGGGACCAGTCCAGTGGCTACATAGTCAGGTCGCACAATGTGCTACAGTCAGGGAGGTACAGGAAGGACGGGATGTGAGGGTTGGGTCGTATTATTTTCACAGTTCCATACAAAACTATTGAATTATTCAACAATAGACACCAAAACTACATTAGAAAAGGATGAAATTCAAACACTGAAAGGAGTTTCAACCAATTCAAATGACTCTGGTCATGCCAGTTTATTTTCTACCTTATCTTTTGCCCATTTGATACAATATTATGGTTAATACTGACTGAAATTTTAAGTGTGTAGCCCTCAACTGAGTGCAACAGTCAAAATTGGAAGAATGAAGTCACTCAACAATGCTTGAAAGTTTTCCTTCAACAAAAGCATTATTATAATGGGTATAATGGGGGAGATTTAACTTGATGAGGACCTGTGACAGAAATCAATATACGTATCTCTTCCAATGACGGTTTGTAATGCCATCGTAATTTACCACAGTGTTCATTTTCAGTTTACTGGAAAGTACTAATAATTCTGAAGTTCACTGAAAATGCTTATCCAGCCTGAATGCATATGTAAGCATATTTCAGATCTTAACTGTATTCTATTGCACCCTCCACACCTTCTGCATCTCATTTTTACAGCCTGACAACTCTCACACAGACATCAGCATGTACCGCTTCAAAAGAGTTTAAAGGTTTCATAATATATATAATATATATAATATATATTTTATATAATATAACTACAACACCATTGGTTTGGTTCCAGCTACACCTTTGTTGCATTGAGTAATCTAGGCATCATTTTTTGCAGGACTCTATTACTATAATTCTCCACAGTTAAAGACATACAGTTTCAACAATTACAAAAGTAAGGTAAAACTTCCAGCTCGAGGTCACTTTTGAATATAATTGTTATATTCTGACCTATCCAATCAGAATGCTTCTTAGGACTGTGGGATTATGGGAACATTATGTCCTGTACCTTGGGTACTGCATAGGCAGGCCTAACTGTAGCTGGACGAACTACATTGTGAGAACTTTTCCACTTCCTCCAGAAGAAGCAGCGATGTTGCTGACACAGTAGGGCTGTTGGGAGACCACCACTTCTTAGACAACACACTCTCTGCAGGAAACCACCCAGTCCTGGAGAAAAGGAAAACAACACAATGAAGCGGAGAGCGCTCTCTATTACAAAGCATTTCTGCTAAGAATAAACAGTACAGAGGCAGCTCTTTCTTCTTGGTCAACAGTGCAACAATGATTGACAACAATGTGTATTTTTTTTTAAATATGATGTATTCTGTGAGCTACATCAAAGATCACTGATTTTTAAGACAGCTTGGACATACATTCAAGCACAAGCTGCCACCAAGAAGAGCACAGTTTGGGTAACAGGGCCAACTGTCAGTCACACTGTGACCGTTTACACACTAAACAGTGTTTTCAATGTCTTGCAAAGTGAAGACCAAACAGGCCTCTTTGATAAAACAAATTGTGTATCTGGCATAAACTGAACAATTAGCAAATATAACCACCATCAACACAATATAAAGCTAAGAGTAGGGTTGCAGTATTGAGGTTCTAGCATTTTGCCCCCCTCATGTATAGAGACACCTCTCAGTGTAAGGTAGCTGCACCTAGCATGCTGATATCAGTTGACAAAAAACCTCACCCATTACTTTCAAACTACTGTCATGTTAGTCACTTTATACAGGGACTCGGGTGGTCCGAGCAGCTGCTAATACGACCCGGCTGCTTGGGTATAGAAACAGTATTAGCTCAGTGCCTACCTTGTCTCGTCGCAAGTCCTGCAGCACTGTGCGCCGCCATGGATTGTTATTAGTGGTCACGTGGTGCGGGAGTCACGTGACGCATGACACATAGCGACCACACAAATTGAAAAAATGTAAACCTGTAGTTTTTATTTCATTTTTTAGTCAATCTTTTTATTTTCCCTCAGTCGTGTCGTCTTGATATCGATTTATTTTGATACGTTTTTTTTACTCTTATGTTCCTTTTATGTTGTTTTATGTTCTTTTTTGACCATGTTCAGCTGTACTTTTTTGTGATGATTTTCCTGTATTTGAGTAATAAGACTGTGGAAATTACAAATACATTTGGTTTATTACACTGAAAGTATGTTGGCTATGTGGAGGAAACTGGCTGGTGCGTTTATTTTGGCGACAACAATGTTAATTATTAAGAATGTTAAGTATTAATGCTATCTATATTGATGGTTGCCTATACAGAAACGACATGTGTGCTATATTAATTGTGCAACAAATATTGCCTTTATAACTACCGACCAACCCATTTTATTCTGCTTCAATTTTACTTTAATAGCACTCGGCAATTGTACAACTAAAACTTGCCATTATGCTAATTTGACTTGATTGTTGTTACTGTTTCTTCACATTCATTTTTCTTTATTTACCTTTAAATGCACATATTTGAGTCCTGTGGGACAAACCGCAGCACCCGGAGAAAACCTAAGCAGGCGGAGACATAAATTGCAAACTGATCGGTTTGACTGTATAGTTTGCAGCCACACCTCCGTCCTGCCTTCAGGTGTTACAACGCTGTTCCTGTTTGACCAGCATTTTCTTCAGCAGATCAGGGATGTCTCATGAGAGAGAAGAGTGCGAATTCCTTTACCACATATATAAGCATTTCGCTTATGTGCTGTGTCAGATGGCCTTTGGTCTGGTGTGACCAATGGTGATATGATTTAAAAAATTATAACCAATACCGCCCGACGTTTGTGTTTAAGCCTTTGTGACTCTTGCGCTTTCATTGAGTTCTGTCCAAACCCCATAGAACTCTGTTGAAGTCTGTTTTTTTGGGGGGCTGTTAAAAAAGGTCCAACAAATTCTGGTGTCGTTAACAGATGTGTCCAGTCAGTAATGGAGCTTCCATCCAGCAGATATTATAAGTAGGCCTATTCAAAGATTTGCCTTCAGGGGCTGATTTGCAGCGGTTGCTGGACAAATGTTTTTTTGGTTCCCCTAACGCCTTTCGCGATTAAAGCGCCCACAAACCAGTTGTTTTGTTAGAACTTGTCTGAATCAGAATGGAAAAAAACTATGTTCTGAGACTGGACAGATCAACAGTCGCAGTTCAAATAAGCGATAAACGTGTGTCTGTTAACTTAAGTGATACTGGCCAGATTCGACTGTGACGTAAAAGGAATGGACAGAATACTGACGTAGTGGCGTCACAGTGACGTCACCACGACGTTGTACGGAACACGCGAAGGGACAAGGAGGGCAAAAAATGTCGATAGCCTACAAAATCGACATGGGCTACAGGAGTAAGAAATAAAAGAAATGAATAGTATTCATTTAGACTCAAACTCATTTTATATGCGATGAAAAAAGAATAATTAAAAAAACATAGTGGTTTTATATTGTGGTTTAATGGGGACATTGTGTATTAGGCTGAGAACTTACAGTTATACTGGTAAACTAAACATACAATTGATTCACATCCTTTGAATATTTCAATTCATGTGACTGGAGTTGCAAAAACATTACACTTTAATTCTCAATTTTGCAGTTAGAAAATATCACACAGTATTTTTTTTCACAGGCTGCCATGATGATTACAAAAAGCAAGATTGTCATTCACCACACTGTAAATATGAACAAATATATAGCCAGCTTTCAGTCTTTTAATCCTGGTGGAGGTCTCTAAATTTCAATTTTCTCTGAAACCAAACATACCATTAAACACCTCTCTAATAGGACATTACAGCATATGACAGTGCTGTGATTGTCAAACAAAGTTACATAACACAAGCCCTGACTAGTGTTGTACTCTGACTAGAAGGTCACTGCCTTATCAGTGACAACAAATACTGTTGATATCTCACATGGACACCTCACCAAGGTCAGAGAGATAAGCACTCATCCAGTAGTATTAAATAAACAAAAAAGTTAAAACATTTCTGAGCATATAAATAAATAATTGTTACCACTGCTGGATGTTAAAACAAAGTCAGAATGGAGTGACGGATAGAGATAATGACAGAAGGAATTTCCACTTGTCATAGTAGGAGAACTAGGTACCTAAAACATTACTGGTGGTTCTGTTAGATTCTAGTATCCCACCATACCATGACAGTGAGCTTTCATGAAAAACTAAAGGAGCCTGAAATAGCAGGTATCATTAATTCTGTTTTTTACACCTGTGCTTTTCCTATTGTGACATTTCAAACTAACCTCCATAAAAAAGGCATATTCACATGAATAGTTACATGGGCTGCTGGATAACTGTAGTGAGGACCTGCATAAAAATGTCCTTTTAATTCAGTCCATATTTAAAGTTTTACTAAGTTATTCAGATTTAACTGCCTCCCTGCCAAGAGAGCATCTTATAAAAGAAAATATGCCCTATGTGTTTCCTATGTGTTTGTGCATTTAAGTTTAGCAGCAGCAGTAGTCTAGTAGTAATCGTATACAGTAGCAGTACTTGTAGCAGTGGCAGTAATAGCAGGAGCCTAGTCTTGACTGTAGTAGCCAGCATCAGCAGTAGTAGTGCTTCAACAGTAGCAGTAGTAGTAATTGTAGTAGCTAGTAGCAGCAGTAATGATTAGTGGCAGCTGTGGTGATGGTAGTAATGGCAGTAGTGGCAGCAGCAGCATCAGTAGTGGGCTCAGCAATAGTAGTAGTGGGGTAGTATAGTCCATACAATCAATTCGAAAATTTGAATTCATCATTCATCATTTCACATCAGTGCAAGATAAAACATCCTCCTGCATCAGCATCGGTGTGTGAGTGCGGACACAAGTAATCATTACATTTATGGACAAACGGATGAATCGCTTTGCATTGCTTTAAGACTGCTCTGTTCCGTTTTCACTTTCAGACCTGTACACGTCTGAGGGCGTGCACTGCGCCTCGCTTTCTCACTGTACGTGACGTCAAACCAGCATGGCGGTCAAGGTGACTTCGGCATCGCTCTCTTAACGATTTTCAAACCTTTACTTTAACACATCTGCATGTCTTCTGTTCATTTTCTTGAGTGGCAATGGTCAAAGTAAGACTTTGTGGCCCTGTGCGGACAGGCTGTCTTGGATGCGGTGTACTCTGAGGCTGTAGCATCACTGGGCTAGCTGCCGCCCGGCGGTGGCTGGCCTTGATGAGACATCTACAACCTCGACGTTAGCGGGATAATGCTAAACTGCTATCGGACTGCTCACCCTTCCGTGATAGAAAAACCCTAACGATAGCTGAGCTCTCATCTTTTCACAGCAGTCGACACTTTGTCTCTTTGCTCTCGTCCTCTCGCATTTTGCCGATTTAAAGCTTAACATGTCATTGCAACGGTTTGTGTCCTCTTCATATGAGTAGTTTGTGCTTGCTAGCTGGCTACCCAGTTGTGCAATTAGTTTGAGCTTGTCAATAGGTATATCTTGTTGGCTGGTTAGTAATAATCTAGCTGCCTAACTTGCTCAATTTGATTGTGTGCCAGGACATGGTCATTTCTGTTCGTGTGCCACTCCTGTATCATTGGCTTGTGTTTCTCCTTCACAGCAGTGGCTGTTTCAAGGAGACACTAACCCAGAGCAGCTTGGTTGTTTTGCTTCATGTTCTGCTTAGTACACCGCATAAAACTTGCTTTACTCTGCAGCTTTTTGTTTGTAAATTCAAAAACTCATATTCTAGTTGTCGAACAATGCCATGATGTTGTTTAATTGTGTATTTTTCAGGTGCAATCTACCAAACGCGGGGACCCGAGTGAGCTGAAAGCAATCTTCCAGAAGGTAAGGGTCTGCACGGTTTTCCTCCTGACAAAGACAGTCTCTGATGTGTCAGTGTCAGACTCTGCAAAGATACAGTAATATATGTGCCATCATGTACGTATCCCTCAGAAGTATTTGTGAAACAGCTACAGTATATGTGTAGGAAACAGCTCACCCAGGGCTGTCTTCACCCAGTGAATGAGCTTGTAAGTTTGTCATGGGGTTTAAATTACAGCATTAGCAACAGTTAAAGGTCCAGCCCAGACTGCTGTTGTTACATAAAACCACATAACTGTAACTGAATTGCCTGTCAGTGATCACATTCATCGGCTATACTAATGTTGTTTTGTTCTTCTATCAGAAGTTGAAGCAAGTTCATACTTGTTGAGTCAGCAGCAGCTGTTGTGAATGCTGTGGTTGTATTGGTTCAGTAATGAAGAGAAGTGTTAAGCATCTGCTTTTCCCAGTCCCAGTCTGCTTTGATCATAATGACAAGTTAAAGGGAGGTGTTGTACTGTTGCACAGGCGAAGGATGGCGTCATTCAGACTCAGGAGAGCTCAGTTGGGATAGGATCAGACTTTTAATCTGAGAGTACAGGGTTCAGGTCTATGATCATGCAAATGTGTCAGGTTTTGTTTCATGGTCTCCAGCACTGCTTAAGCAAAGACCTGTATGTTCTTGTACTGAAAGGATCAGTGAGCACTGTGTCACACCATGCTCATCTCACGTATTGGCAACATTTTGAGTCAGAGTGAATGCTGTTGCACGTGAGATGTCATGAGTAACTGTCATAAGAGTGGACGTGGTTAACCTTCACCTTTCTCCACTGTCTTCTGCGTGATAAGTGTGTGATCCTGCTGTGTGATAGTCATGTGGGCCAGCAGTTGTTGCCATACTAATATACACAGGTCAAATAGCTTACAAAATGCCAAAGACATTGGTGCATGTGCACCTGCTTGTGCATCTTATCCTGACATGTCACACCACAACTGCAAGAAAGATGACCTTGGTTGTTCAGGTGCAGCATGAATTACTAGCACAGTTAAGTAAAAGATGACAATGACAGAGCTGATGTTTCTGTGAACCACCAA